GAAAGACAAGGGTCGCCAGGTTCGGGAGAATGATGGGTGAAAGTGTGACTACCGAAGGAGGTTGCGTGGTCGTTCCGGGGGGAGTAGAATCATTTCCGGCTGGCGGCGTTTGCGATTCTGGAGCGCTTGTTTCGAAGTCAGCGAGCAAAAGCCACCAGAGCTCTGGAGAGCCCGATAGGATCGCCGCAACGCGCTCCACCGATGGAAGGTCATCCTTGATATTGCGAACTTGTAATGACCGTAGCCCACTTAACCTCGGCAGATCCCAAGGGAGGGTTACTCCGTCGAGATCCACGTGACGGAGGTGGCTGCCATCGCTAAGCTTGAGTTGCTTCTGCCCAAGGCCGCTCGACCGCTGGTCCATGAACAAGTCAAGGAGAGCGGGAGCAGGGGACTCGAGGTGTTTAATGAGCTTATCGCTCAATGGGCCCTGGAAGGTCAAGGCCTGCCACCGATAGGAGTGTCGTGCGGAAAGCGCCAAAAAGGCATCTAGCGCCGCCTCGTTCAGGCTTCCCTCCTTGCACAGAATCTGGAGTGCACCGTATGGGTTCCTTCGTAATATAATGTCCCGGAATTCGACCTTGGAAACGGAACATATTTTGGGCCAGAAGAGGGAACATCCCAGGATCGTGCTCCGCCAGTAGCGGCACACGAGGCAAAGGGTCCGAAGGGTCGTGAAGACGTCGTCCGAATCCTCGTGGAAGTTGACGGTGAGAAGCAGGATATAAATGAATAGTTCCGGAGGAATGCGATGCAGTAGTGGGGACTGGTTCCGGAGACGTCTTAGCGCGGTTGTCCGAGCGGCAATGGCACGTAGCATGGCTGTCTGGAGGTCTTCCATCGCTTGGAGCTGGGTGTCGATTGCTCGAGGATCGGAAGTCTCCGATGCTGTCGAAAAACTGAAGGCATATAGAGCAAAGATGTGAGGAATCCGAATTCAGTACGCGTGCTAGTGACTCACCCGTACTCATTTCGAGCAAAAGCCTCCCATTCGGTCAACGACTGGCTTACAGTGCGCTGTAAGGCAACCTCCCGTCCCGGTGGTTGCAGTAACGGCTGTATCTCCGGCTCACAGGGCTCCGTCGACTTTTTTGATTGTGAGTCCTTGGCGACGGTCTCCACTTTTGCAGTGCTTTCGGGCGTACGAAGCTGCGAAAGAAGGGTACCAGACGCTTCCCTACATTGACCAAGATCAAGTTCAATGACTTCGTAAACCATCTGATTCGAAGTGAAAGATCAGGAACGCCGTTTTACAGCAGAAACATGAACTCACTTGATGGCCTTTGAAGTATTAGTAGTGGTTGAGAGTGGGTTGGTGGTTGTTGGGCAACAGATCACCGCCACTCCATAGTCTCACGGTTCGCTGAGTCAGCGAAATCACAGCCCGTCGTTGCGCAGTGTTCCCCATCTTTATTCAACGAACAGCCAAATGTGCGACGCCTTTACGTTTAAGCATTGAAATAGACGTCAAAGCTCAAGGGAGAGGATGTCTTTTCTCATTGTCGGAAGCAGTCTAAATTAAGCTAGACCAGCGTGGTCTGGAACGTCAGAATTACAACACTGGAACTAATGTTGAGTCCTCTGGGATCGTCGCTACTTAGATCCGTATACCTCAAACCAGGCCCAGCGAGAAGCACTTTCCCTTCCCCTGAACTCCCTCTCCTAATTTCAATTTCGTCAAAAGGCCATCAAATCCTCGAATGAGCGCGATTTGCAAAACGAATGATAGATGATCAGGAAGAGAGGTCATGTCAATACTGTACTACCAGTACCAAGAGCCGCACGAAGTAACAAACCGTTAACAAGCATTCAGAGCGAGAATATGGAGATCATGCGAAGACTAGGGAAGACTGGCTCGACTTTGGACGAGAGCATCTCTGAGCAGGTGCGGGGAAGATGGGGGCTGACCTAAGCATTGTAGTCCCAACTGCAACTCACACGCCTCCTGATCAACAAAATCTCCCTCATTTTCCTCCAGCCCTCACGTCCCCCCTCCCCTTCAAGTCTACTTCAAGCATGGCCGACAAGACAAAAACGTATGCCGATTCACATTCCTGGAACAGTGTTACAAACGTACTGATATCTCTTATAGCCAACCCGCCTCCCCTTTCGTGAGTCGCAGCCTTGGCTGGATATGATTTACCATCGTAGTCCAGACCATCAATGGCTAACCGAGCGTCTATGAACGTCCTCCCCATGGACTCGTAGACGATTGAAGTCCCCGAGACGCTTCTCAAGAAGCGCAAGATTAGCGAGGCCCACAAGGAGGCTCGTGCCCAGAAGAAGGAGGCAACCCACAAGGTATCATATCCCCCGCAACGTCCGTCAGCAATATACACTGAATTTGTGATCTCACCTCTTAGAAACGCCATGAGCGACGGGATGTCATCTTCAAGCGTGCCGAGAAGTACGTCCAGGAGTATCGGCAGAGGGAAAAGGACATCGTCGAGGCCAAGCGCGCTGCCCGTCGTACTGGTGATCTCTACGTCCCTGCCCAAGCCAGGCTTTACTTCATCATTCGTATTAAGGGGTATGTCGCTCTCCAACTCAGCCTTTGACGTGGATACTGATTTGTGCCGTTTGCTGCTCGCAGTATCAACCATATCCCTCCCAAACCACGCAAAATTCTGCAGCTCTTCCGTCTGCTTCAAATCAACAACGGCGTCTTCATCCGTGTTACCAAGGCCACAGCCATGATGTTGAAGTACATCGAACCCTACATTGCTTACGGGTTCGTTGATGCTTGTAGAGCGTGCGCGAGCTACTCGAGTTGACGAAATCTGCTGCATTCAGTGAACCAAACCTTAAGACCGTCCGCGAACTCATCTACAAGCGTGGTTTCGGCAAGATTGACAAGCAACGCATTCCATTGACCGATAACCACGTTGTCGAGTCCAAGCTTGGCAAGCTTGATATCCTTTCAATCGAAGACCTCATCCACGAGATCTACAGTGTTGGCCCCAACTTCAAGCAAGCCAACAACTTCCTTTGGCCATTCAAGCTCAACAACCCTACTGGCGGCTGGCGGACGCGAAAGTTCAGGTAGGTTTACTCCATTATGCTTCTTGAAAACTGTGTTGCTAACTCTATTGCTCCTCAGGCATTACGTTGAGGGTGGTGACTTTGGCAACCGGGAAGACAAGATCAACGCCCTTGTCAGGTCGATGGTGTAAAATTTATCTACTTTGTGGTTTCCCCCTGTCATTTCGATATATGCGATGTATGGGATGTACGTTGTTGGTATATGCTTTCGAAGAGCTGATCACGGTCGGGGAACGTTCAATACCTTCCCAAAGTGGTGTTTTTTTTACACCACCTGAAAAGTATGCCACATATTTCTGCTCTCAAATGGTTTGCATGACTGGAAATATCTCATACATGAGCCTTTCCCTTGTGACCGCAGCTGGGTACCAATTGCAACGCTCCCACGTCATGAATCGCTTCGAATTCTTCGTCGCATCCGAATCTGATATTGCGAAATTAGTGGGGATCCCACAACGCGTCGTGATGACTGAAATAGGTGCCCCGGTGGTAATGCGAGTGCCGGTATTCGATGCATATGACCTCGTCGTCTTGGCTCGAATACTTCATAGCTCGTCTCGGCGAGGTCCTTGCCGTCGAGAGTTTAACGCCACGTGGCTGTGCAGCCTCGGGTTCATCGCTTAATTTCGGGCTTGGCACCGGGCACGATCTATTATGACCGTCGTCCGTTACGCCGTTTCCGAGAAAAAACCACCAGCCAATGGAAACACGAGGCAGTGGGAAGCAAGTTAAAAGTCTGACAGGTAAAATTCTGTTTGACGACCGCATCCTTTTGAACCTCCATCCAAATGTCTCGATTTCACGTTCTGTCAGCATTCATTCTACTCTCACTCCTGCTTTGCATTCCTTGTGCATCTTCAAGAGAAATCATCGTTGACGATGCAGATGCTTCTATCGTATACACCGCAGATGCTTCTATCGTCTATACCGGAGAGGGTACCCTAAGCTCGTCGTGGACAACGTCCATACAGCCAGAGGCACTTGATCCCACCCAAATATACGCAGGTAATTCCTAAGGCTCTCCGGCCACATCTTTGATTATTGCTCTGACCTTGAGCTTTTTCCTTCCTTAGGCACTGCTCATACGGCGCGTGGAGCTACCAAGGCAACGTTCGAATTCACGGGTAGGACCAGTCACACACACGGAAAATGAATTTATCTCGGTTGTACTAATCCACGTTGCTCTCATCAAGGCGTCGGCATAGTTGCCTACTTTGTGCTCTCGAATATTACAAACCAATTTCTACCCCCGACCTTTTCTATCGACGGAGTGGTTCAACCCGATCAAACAAACCAAGCATTTCTCGATGGCAATGGTGCACAGATAGTGTATCGCGCACCAGTATTCAGCAAGCAGGATTTAAGCAACGGGGCGCACCTTCTGGAGATTGACGGGAACGCTGGGAGCGATTTCGGCGATAGCAGCTACTTTATTCTCGACTACATCGAGTATACGCAGCAAGATGGCAGCTCCGGTGGTATTCAACCATGGATGATAGGCGTCGCTGTTGCTGCCTCGCTTGTTTTCGTTGTAGCTGTCAGCGTAGTAGCCTTTTGCATTCGACAGAGGAGAAACTGGGCTCGAGGAATTTACGGTATGTCTAGGTTGGCATCGCGGCTCTAGCACGTGCTCGGACTGACGCACCATGACTCCCATGCACAATCAACAGAGCCAGTGACTCTAGAGAACGGTGAAGAGAGCTCGAATCTGCTATACTCGAAAAACTAGAGGTATCAATGCTTGGGCCATCAATCCACCAAGAGTCTCCCGGACCATCTTGAAGTTGACAAAAACGAGATTTATGACCGCACTTTAAATTCTTTAATTGTATTTTATGTGTAGTTTGTTCCACCTTACTTATACGATTGATTTGGGGAAGATCGGAAATAACTCTGTCCGCAAGTTGAGGTCTGGTTGTCTGTCCAAAAACAGAAGTCAGACGCTAGTAGCAAAAGATCGTCGCCTGAGCGATTCGAACACTCGCGCACATGTGCATCCGCTTATCTAACAAGTAGCAGGCGAACCCGTTAACCACTCCGGCAAAGCGACTGAGTGGTAGTCATTGCACACAATATCCTTAGTCACTCGGTTGTCGTTTCGGTAATCTACGGATCACAGGAAAGCGCTGTTATTCCCGAAAGCTGTGCGCAAGATCCTGTGCATACAGCCGCCACTCTGTGCTTCATTTTTTTCCCATAGGCTCAAGTGTGAGACGAACTCGGATGTGGACAGTGTGGCGGTAATCCGCCACAGCCATATTCCAGGCAGCCGCCGCGCGCGGCTCGTGTTTTGCGTCGAACCCTACATGCTACTCGGATGAACACGCTACAGGCCGGACCTGGTTTATCAAGCGCGTTGAGCGAGTACGTCTGGGGATATATAAGCCATGCGACTTCCGTGGTGTTTCGAGGTCTGTACTATTTTTCGGATGGGCTCCCTTCGCACGGCAACTAGGTGCGCAACCGCTGCAATATAGAAAATAAGGCGACACCTTCATGTGTATATTTATTCCTTAGCATTGAGTTGTGCTTGGGTTGAGGTGAGACCCCGTTCGCAGCGTCTGTGTCCAAAAGGGGACATGAACCGAACCTAAATGTGTACGGTCTGAACATCTCAAAATTTTGTATGTTGGCTTCAAGTTCACCCATCATTTATTTTTCTTTGTGGATACTACTTGCTTGCAGGTATTGACAGAATACCTACGCGATCCAAACAACTGGACATAGAGGGAACATGATGTGCTCACCATTGCTCCGGACAACAGTGGCGGAGTGTGCCCTTTCCGCTTCCCATTATGCCCGAGGATTGGACAGTTAGGATCCGACCCCGCTTTTCTTACCCAGAGCCACCTTTGCTCGGTTCCAACTGTCCCTCCTGGGACAGAAAGCCCTCCGCCACCTCAAGGGCTTCTGCAGGGGAGTACTTAGCCCTTGTCGCAGCTTGCTCAAACACACTTTTGACAGCTTTCCCTTCATCCCCTTCCCCCTCCGTTTTCAAACGCTCCCCTCTCAAATGCTCCTCCGGTTGGCTGCACTGCTGACATGCACTCTCTTTAGCACGCTCTCTAAAGCTCAGGACACAGTTCACCTAGTTGATACCATTGTTGACGATAGCGACCCCAGTATTGTATACGACTCTAATCCCTCTGGCCCATGGGTGACGACCTCGTCCCTGAGTTGGGATATTACGAAACTATATCGAGGTGAGTGGGAATTCATCGTGATTACTGTTGTTCTTGGATCGAGCAATAATTATCCATTCCCTTGTTTGTGTCCTGGCAGGAACGTTTCATCGTGGCGATTATAATGCGCACGCCCAGTATGTATTCACAGGTGGGATATTGCATCGTCGTACAATCGCCGCCTGGGCTAACCGAGAAGTTAGGAACTGGTGTTAAAGTAGTCATTGCTGCACGAGACATGCCTGGAGCTTGGACAAATGTCTCCTTCTTTCTCGACGGCACCAAACAAGGGGAATATATCTGGGAAGGGACCGAAGCAAACCAGCTGATATACAATATTACCGCATTTGAAACGTTGGCCCTTACCAACTCAAGCCACGTGCTAGATATTGTGGGAGGACAAGGACCAGATATCGCCATGTACCTTGACTATATCCAGTACACCCAACTCCTCCCGGTTACTGCATCAAGCATGATGTCCTCGTCCTCCGCCACTCAGCTCAGTTCTTCGGCATCAATCACCGCCATCGCTTCAACACCAACTTCATCTGCAACACCAGTCACTTCCAGTACACCTTCAGCGCTACTCGGCTCTTTGAGACCTCCTGGGATAAGCATCGCTGGGATAGTTGGCATCGGAATGATGGTTGGAGTTAGCGTACTCCTTGTGGCCAACCTGGCAATCTGGATTCACAGGCGAAAGAAGAAGGCCACCAAACGACCAAGATGTAAGTTCCATAAAGACTTTTCCCGAATCCGGCAACGGACGCTAAAGACTTGGAACTCGTTGCCGCTAGCTTCCGAAACAGCGCTCCTCAAGTTTCATCAGGATGCCTCATTGCCAAGAGCGGGGGTTCACGAAGCAAGTTATTCCCAACTGTCTCAAACTGGATTCGAAAAGGCATCCTTTGAAGCTTCGTATAATCCCCGCGGAGAATACACCCCCCTGCAAACACCCTCGGCAAGTCTCGTTCGAGGAGTACATATACGATAGTTTCCTCAAACTGAACTAGTCCACTCCATACCCTAATCTTAACTATACCTCGGCTGTAACATTTACGCTTAAACTTATGACTTATGTACATGTATAATTCCTCGTGAGGAAAGCGATGGGACATTTCCAAAAGTGCATGGTCTCACTGCGTTTCGCTGATAGTTTTGGGACTCGGAGGATCTTGAGTCCCGTGTTTTATCAAGAGAGGCGAGGTGGAGTACTATAGCTACACAATCCTCCGGGTTTTCTAAAACCCAAACAAAAGCAAATCGCCACAACTTCCGTCACGTGAGGCCCCACCGGTCGTTCGTTTCCTTCCATAATGGACTCGTCCTCACTCTCTGAGCTGTCGCAAACCGACGAAGAGTACACTCAAGCGTCAACCACAGGGTCAAAAAAGCGGAAAAAGGCGGGGAGAGGAGCTTCGGCAGCGGTCACTTCTCGTTCCAGAAAGCGCCGCATTGTCGATCAAACGCTCCCTAGCGAAACCCAAAGTTCAGTTAGCGTGGCGGGGACTTCCTCGTTGATTTCGGGTTTAAGTACATCTGACACCCAGGTAACGACTGAGGAGCTGCCTCTCCACCCGGCAGAACCAACCAAAGAGGCCAAACCTCGAACTCGGACGAGAAAGCCCAAAGAACCGCCACCAGAACCTACGTTGGCAGACTTTACACCACGTGTGAATAACGAGTGGAAAATAGGAGCTCATGTATCTGGAGCTGGCGGTCTTGAAAACGCTGTTTCCAATGCCGCCACCATCGGGTACGTACAACAGTCAAGTCAAGGGTCAAGCCACATCCACTGACAGGTTTTCTTAAACCAGCGCCAATGCATTTGCTCTCTTCCTTAAGTCAAATCGAAAGTGGGAATCACCTCCCCTCACCGAAGATACGATTTCCAAATTTCGAAGTCGGATGAAGGAGTTGAACTATGACCCCAGTTTGGTTCTCCCTCACTCGACCTACTTGATAAATATGGCTCATTCCGACGAGTAAGGACTTATTTGATGCTCGGACCGGGACCTTATACTGAGTCGGATTATTACACTCAGTGAAAAGCGGGAGAAGGCGTATCAATGCTTTGCGGATGACCTCAGGCGGTGCGAACAGCTCGGATTGACGCTATGTAACTTTCAGTGCGTTTGCGTCATAAACCCTCAATTCTCAGTTCTAAAGTAGCTCTCTACTCCAACGTGCTACTAGTCCAGGTTTTGTGAGTGCCGGGGGGACGAAAGAGGCGGCTATCACGAATATTGCGGCCTGCTTAAACCGGGCACATGGTGAGTTTCCATCGGTCGTTACGGTTGTCGAGTGCATGGTACGCATTTTCCCACCTTGTGGCTGCATTATAATGTCATAACTGTGGATTTGCAGGCAGGAACCAAGAACGTGGTCGGTGCGGCCTTTCAAGACCTTGCCGACATCATCAAATTAGTGGAGGACAAGACGAAAATCGGGGTGTGCCTCGACACTTGTAGGCCTCGCCATCTCTAGACAAAAAGTAATAGGCTGATCACACGCTGTCGAAGGCCATATGTTCGCCGCTGGGTACGATTTGCGGACGAAAGAATCGTATAAGTACGTTGATTCTTCCTCCAATGTGCGCGGTATGCTAAATTTTCTGTCCCCATCTAGGTTGACGAGTATGTCCAATTTTGACTGTCTGCACAGCTAGGGGTTTACGAATTTTTTCAGTGCAAGACTTCGATTCTGCTGTCGGCCTCCGTTATCTGAAAGGGATGCATCTCAACGATTCAAAGACCCCGTTCCAATCAAACAAGGATCGTCATGAAAACCTTGGCCTGTGAGAAAAGGTCTACACATCCCATTGCACCAAACCTGACATACCTTTTACCGCATGCTAGTGGAACACTGGGGATTCAGTCCTTTCGAAATGTCGTGAACGACCCACGGACGAAAGGCATTCCTCTTGTCCTCGAAACACCAGGATTCGATTGTGAAACGGTATGGAGGAAAGAAGTGGACGTTCTCAACCGGATATCTGCTCGTCCCGCCGATACGTCCGCTGAAGAGTCTCAGGACGACGTCATCGTGGAAGAGATTCGGGAAGCCATTCGGGCGGCGGAGGAGGCTGGGTATGGCGCTAAGGGAAAGGTCCCAAAAGGTCGTAGCTCACAGGGGAAAACGACAAAAGGCAAGAAACGAAAGAAATCGGGAAGAGACGAGGACGATGAGAACGACGAGGACGACGAGATGACTGAAGATGGGTGAAGGTGGATCGTAGAACCACGAAGGAATTTGCGATCTATGGCGGAGTCTGGGTCAATCGTTTTGGCCGAAGATGGCAAAGATCAGATGGGAAGCAAGAAAATGGGTGTTAGCGATAGTTATTGATTGTATCGAGGCACAGCATTATGCAAGATACAAGCGGTAGAAGACAGCTTAAGCAGTAATAGGAGTGGTGATCTTTCCGAAACCTGTGCTCACGCCGTTGGCGATGCTTTCAACGAAAACGCCAGAGTAGTACAATGCCTCCGTGGTTCCTTCTTGGATGCCGTGATGAACAACGTCACCCTTGTTTGCTTCAGAGTCGGCGGGGTTGACAAGAGGAAGCTATGAAACGAGGCTTTGGTGAGCCACGTCCACCATCCAAGTGGATTTATTCTTTCACCTTGAGAACGCCGAAGTGGAAATCGCCCTGGCCATCTGGACCCGCGGTAGCTGAGAGGTTAGGAACGAGCTTAGAAACCTTCTTCAGATTATCGCCGTTCGTGGAGGCGAATACGCCGAGAGTGCGGTTGGTCCAGTCAATTTGAACCGCGAAGTTGTACCAGGTGAGGGACTTGAAGGGAACCGAATAGATGACCTAATTAATCGGGTAAAGTGAATAAGGAGCTTGAAAACCATAAGAGGT